GGGGGGGGGGGGGGGGGGGCGGGGGGGGCGGCCGGCCTGCAGCTGGCCGGCACACACCCGCAGGTGCACCGTGGCTTCTAGCTGCAAAACAGGTGGACCCCGCATCTCAGCACGTGACACGGGGTATTGCAAATGCCGTGGTTTGGGAAAGGCGCAAAGGAAACGAAAAATATGCTGAGATGAGGTCCATCGGGGGAGCGTTCTGGGCACATCCACTCCATTAATCTCTCGTGGCAGTAGCCAAGGGTGATTACTAGAAAGTTAAGCGGCCGGAGGACATCACTCCCAACACTTGCACTGGAGGGGTGCTAGCGTTAGCTGATTGGTATAACATCAGGTTGAACCACCTCTAGCTGTATCCTCAGAAGGCACTGAGATTCAAAAGGCAGCTCTGTGCGCGGAGAGGTGGGAGGGTAGGGGATGACCGCCAGCAGCTGGGAGTCAAATGCCTCGCTCACAATCTAGGCTCAGACCAGGGGCGGGAAGGGCTTAAGGGGCCTGACTGCCCCGTCTGCACACGGGGGCTTTGCCAGATGAGCAATAAGGTCCCTCTAGTGCTCACACCCTATTATTCTCTGCCGTGGTGTCAAAATAAAACAGTATGTCACATGAACACAATGAATGGGGTCTCCCTGCCCACGGCCATGTTTCTGTGCATCAGCTACTGAAAAAAAAAAAGGAAACTTCCTCTCTCATCCACTCTGGGAGCTGAACAAGGTAATAGCAATGGCGGTAACAACTCAGAAGAGAGGAAACGTGTGAACAGCCAAAAGAAATGGCAGAAAAAACACAAGACAGAAGCACTCAGCTCTGAAGGGAAGAGGAGGTTTGATGAGTAAAAAGAACAGCCTGGTTCCAGGTGGGAGAAAATTTGGAGAGAATGAGTGCTTATCAAGCACTTTTTTTGGAGCATCACAATAACTGGATAAACTATTGATGTGGGTAGAAATACATACAGAAGAGTCAAAGGCTCACTCACCCTGTGAGAACAGCAGATTGGTCTCCTCTTCACCCAGAAAACGGACTAATTTCTTTGGAAAACTGTAAGAGAAAAGGTTAAAAATGAAACATTAAACCCCTCCTGTAAGTCAGCACAGGTGTGCAGGCCAGGAGGTAAGGAATCTCAGCTCCTGGCCCTTTGGCACCTACTAGGTGCACAGCTAGTGTGTGAAGAGCGTGGACGCACGACTGCTTGGCTGACTACATGAACTTCCAAAACAGAGCCCTGAACAATTACCACGTAGAAAATGATTCCTTTATCTGGAGATGAGTGAACCCTACAACAAAGGAGTGTTATCGGCAAAGAAAGAGCCCAGAGACAGCGACAGAAACGCCAGCGGCTTATTGGACAGGGGGAAACCTTACACAAAGGTCCTGGAGCGACATCCCACCGTGTGCGGCGGACGGCGCGCAGGAGGCAACACCAACCCCCACCACTCGGGGGAGGAGGAGGCTTCCATTTATAGGGGGGAATTGGTGTCAGGTGGGCTCAGTTACCAGGGACTACTTAGGCCCCATAATTAAGAGGATTGGATAGTCATGTGAGCCAGGCAAAGCCTGGTCGAGCAGGAGCCATGTAGAGAGAGCAAGAGGACAGCCATCTTGAACACAGGCGTACATTGTGGTGCCTGGGAAATCATTTTGTAGGTGGATCTTTTAAGATCTCGTGTCTGCACCCCCACAGTGGGGCTAACTGCAGATGTCTTCATAAGTAACCAGAGCACCCCACTTCTGCACTTTGCACTTCCCCAAAATGGTGTGCCCACAATTCCATTCATCCCCTCCTGAGTCAGCGACCCCCCGGGGACCTGTAATGCAGCGCGGGAACATGGGCCTGGCAGAGAGGCACTGGGGGCCACATATCAGGCGGACTGAGTAATCCCGTGAGGAAGCCGCGGTGACTGAGATAACGTGTGGGAAAGAACCGAGATGATGTGAATGTTGGAAGAGGAAGCCTGAGAGACAAAGGGAGATAAGGGAGCGACAGCAGCAGACGGTTTAATCTGCATCACATAAGGAACTAACCCCGAGATCCAAGTTTTAAAAAATTTCCAGAGACTGCTTTAAAGGCTCTCTGCAGGTTCAGGAGGGAAGGAGGGAGCTCAAGTCTAGCTCCCGAGGTTGGCAAATTTCACACGACCCCAGAGGGCTGGGGATTAAGTCTCCAGCTGAAAGAAAGCCATTGCTTTTCCTCCCTTTTCCGAGAAGGAAAAGAGGGCTGTGGCCACCAGAGCTGTATGGGGGGGGTCTCTTCCTCTGAACATGTTCATTGGAGACACATTGCCAGACTCAAGTTTCTCAGAACCTTCTAGACGCGCCTCACAGTCCCAGAGAGCAGCCCACCGTCAGGCTGTGCTGGGAGCGGCAAGCTACTGGGACCACGTGCTTCCTCCCCACGAGAAGGTCATGCTCTAACTGAAAACACTACAGGGTGCGCGCGGCCAAACACAGCCCACGCCGGTGAAATCCCCAAGCACCTTCTTTTTAAAGCAACGCTTTATAAACCACTCACATACATTCACCTTTTCATCCTCACGGCAAACCAGAGGTCCACAGCCAGAATCACCAAGACCCCAAACCCTGATTTCAGAGGTGGGACCGAGTCTCAGTCTCAGCTCAGCCACCCACCATTCAGGTGACATAAACTCTCAGAACCCTTTCCTCATTTGCATGATGGCGGTAATAATATCGACTTCACATCATGTTTCAAGTTCTTAGGGCAGTGCTTGGCACGGAGAAGAGACTTAATAAAAAGGAAACGCTTGAGTGCCGTGGGGCAGAACACGCCTACAGATCTGGGGCAACAGGGAGGACACAGGAGAGCTTTTTTTTTTTTTTTAATAATTTTATGATTTATCAAAATGTGGGTACTTGTGTTCTCTCTTTCCCCACCCTCCCAAAATTACATCAGAGAAATGAGAACAAAGTAACACCATTTACTGCGAACAATTAGAAAATACAGACGGGGTGGGAGGGGACAAATAATATAAATCAGCAGAAGTCCCAGTAACAATCACCGTGAACATTATGGCTCTCTCCTGTATACAGAATAATCAAGTATACAGAATAATCAGACAGATACTTACATAAGTAAAATTACATACAGATCGTTTATTCATAACATTCTCTGGTAGCATTCACATTGTTCTGCAGTCTGATAATATTTTACTTGTTATATTGTAAACCTCTTTTAACACCAATAAATCCATCTCTGTCATAACTGTTAACCAATCCGTGTCCCACAGTTATGAGAAATGACTACACGTGTGGCAGGGTGTGGTCCTTTTGCTTTCCACACTTTCATCAAGATTGAGAAAGGCTGCTTGTATACACATCAGAAGTCTTAGCAAGAAAAAACTGCTTGGGTTTGAGTGGGTGTAGCTGAGAAGAATACAAACTAGCACATACACCGCAGGGAATAATATCACAAATCACAATACTCAGTGAGTTTCCAACACGGTGGAAGGGGACAGAATTTTAAAGACGAGGGCGAATGGTGGAGAGAGATGCCTATTTCGAGTATGAAATCAGAAACCTGAGGTTGAAGAAGTGTCCTTGTTTTCAGTCCGGTCACGGTAGAGTTACTTGATGATACAGAGAAAAGCAAACTGAAAACTGTAGACTCTCGAGTGAACCTAAAAATTATAATCACATTATATGAACTTGAAAACTTACCAAAAAATCAGAATTTACCATATTTACAAGATATCAAGAGTTGGAATGTTTGTGGAGTCTCAATATTTCTGATCTAATTTCCTTCTCGAAGAGAACAGTTGGTTTGGTAAAACATATGTGATATAGCTTAATTGAGTTGCATGACACATCCTTGTCCTCCATCAAGAAAATCGTGCCATACCTATAAATGTGACTGACCAGCAACACTTCAGGAAAATACCACTTCTGCAGGGAGGCTGGGGAAGTGAATGTATCCCCACAATTGGCAGAGTGTAGAGCGACTTCTTCCTCCAGTTATGAGTGTAACCCTTTAAAGTACCGCCAACATGCTCCTTCCTACAAGCCAGCAGGAGATGGGGGATTGCCAGCGAGTAGCCAAGAAAGACAGGACATACCATGGCAGCAGAGAAATGCCAAATCAGATACCCGCCAGGAAATCCTGGAGAGACCAACAGTGGACAAACACAGAGTTGGACTTGAAAAACCAGAATCTACAATGAATGCACAGGTGATAACCCCTTTGTAGGCTACCTTTCAACAAAAGTCCCCTAAAAATTCATGCCTTGTCTAGCTTGTGCAATTTTTAGGGGAAGTGACAATTTGTGGTGGGGGGGGTCACACCTTTAGAAATTTCATGTGAAGTAGAATTAACATTGGAAGATAAGAACTCAGATCTTAAGTTTTAGCACTGGATAGAATCAGAGAGAGCATCTCTTTGGCAACTCCCACTGGGGTCTTTACTGTATCATGGAATATGGACGGAGCTGCTTTTAACAGATCTCTTTTGATGGTATGATTCAGGAACCAGTGAGCTGTTCCTAGATCTGACCATGAACTTCTTCCAGGGACAAAGTCTGTGTTTTGCTTCACTCTCTCATGGCCACTGCTTTCTCCATGAGAGAAAACCAGATGGTGAGGCTGGGCTGTGTGCTCTCTAACGTCTCTTTTATGCAGGGAAGGCTACATAATGCACTTCTTAACTTCACTTTCAAAGGGCCCTTTGCATCCTTTGATGCTGTACATGGGGTGGCCCAGAGAACATTCTGTACAGCAGACCTAGCCATGGAAAACGGTGGCTGAGATTCTAAAGTCCGCATCCAATTGTGTGTCTCCAGTGAACATCACCTAGCCAGGAAAACTGGCTGATACTCTACATTCCACACTTACAATATATTTTTGGACTACTGACTTTGGAAAATTCTGTCTTGCCGTTGTATCATGTCGTCCTGAGTAAGAACTGGATCCCTTAACATCAGCTACTACCATTTACTGGGTGGCTAATTATGTCCACAAGTTTTTACCTGTTATCCCGAATCTTCACAAAATCTCTGTAAAATGGGTCCTTTTAGCCCTCTGGCGCAAATAAGGAAAACAAGCTTCAAGATGAGTGACCTAGCTAAGGTCACCTAACCAGGGAGCTAACAAAGCAAGAATTCAAAGCCAGGTTTGTCTGGGTTTCACGGCCAAAGAGAAAAGAGATGAGCCCCGTGGCAACGTGCATGTGGATTTTACATTAAAGCCCAGGATGTAGCATTTTGCCAAGAACGAAAAACAAGCACTGGCTTTTACTAAATGCACAGATACTTCTTTTTCAGGTTATTTCTTTTTCAGATTATAAAATACATGGCGGCAGCCAGCTAGGATGCTAGAACAAAAGTCATCCAGGACACTGAGTGGCGAGTCATGCTTGAGCCGTCCATCCAGCAGGTGCTGGGCCAGCACTCGTCAGGCAGAGCAGCAGGACCGAAGTGCTGACAGTTGCAATGACACAAAATGTAGCCTCGGCAAGTCGGCCTAACAATTATTTCACATCATTCTGATTATGAGCCACAAGCATGCAATCAACGGCACAGAGACGCTCTTAAATGATCTCCATCAGCAGTTTACTTCAGCTAGCAAAGCGTGGCAGATGGAACACACTCTCATCTGACCTAAACGCAGTGTTAATAACCCAAACACGAAGAACGTGCAGGGACCACGGTGGCACGAGGGTGCTGGCCTTGCTGGGGGCCATTGGTTATGATAGATGCATTTTATTTTCTTCAACTTTTCCATTTACTATCTCAGAGTAAATAAATAACTCTTCATGTGTTTCTCATCTGATACATTTAGCCACAGTCTAACTCAATTTAAAGACTTAAGCTTACAAAATTTCCCAGACCTAATACTGCATGTTGTACTATCTCTGTAAGGAGCATGATTCATATTCCATCGTAAATTTTTATGGGTGTGCGTCTCCCAGGCTCAGTTGTGGCCCAGCTCTGAGAGCATGGAATTTATATCATTTATCTCTGTATTCCTAACACCTAGTGCCTGGCATATATGGTAGACAATCAAAATATGCAGAAATGAATGAATTCTCATCC